TTACTATCCATGGCTGGAATAAAATTCCACTCAAAGTTTGAATATGGCAATCAAAGTCAGAACTAACAATAACAGGCTGCTTAATATGATGAACTTGGTGCTTACATTGAAAAGTTTACTCCAGCAGTAGATGACAGACGACACTCGGAAACTCCTCATTTGCCAGTTGCTGTTTCATTGCATCATTTACTGCAAATAGTAAGGAAGAGCATTGGACAGAAGTATCCTGGTGATGAGAGTAAGCTTGAAGTTCCCTCACTGGAATGGTTACGCCTTCAATTTTGGTCACATAATCCTTATTCAGCATCTACATTAAGACACAGAGGGCGAGTAAATTTGAAGTTTGGTCACGTTAATGTCGATTCACGGTATGTTAATGTTATTTTACGCTATTTGAAAAAGTTTTCTGTTAAAAAAAGTTGTTTCATCAATTATGTGTCAGTAGATGATAAAGCCAAGATGGTAAACCTGAACTTCAAAAGTGGTGTCAAAAGACATAATCGTTCAATAGTTTTAGCAGAAGATCCCAGTCCAGTTGCTTTAGACCATGATTTTTGTGTTCATGGGATAGTGTCATCTGTGTCTTTTGTGACTGACATTTCAGAAGTACCTCAAGATTCTTCCTATCATGGAAAAGCCTTTGTGGGGTCAAAAAACAAAGTTACTCAACTTTCATCAGTTTTGTGGCAACTTCTCCTTCAAACTCACTTTAGTGATGATGGCGCTGTTGTAAACAAGCCTATACTTGTGACGATGAATGATAGAGGGCCAAACCACCGTATCGCTTATGTTTCTGTAAAATTGGCTTTGATCTGTCTTTTCATATATTTGGACCTGAATATGATGGTTGTTGGCCGTACCTGCCCTTATCAATCTTGGCAAAATATAGTTGAGCATGGTATGTATGCTTTATATTTGTCATTAGTGACCATTGCCCTTACCAGGAAGGAATTGTCAGAAGAGCTAGAGAAACTGCTTCATAACAAAAAAGACTCTCACCAAAGTACTTGAAGTATTCGCTCAAAATCCAGTATTGAATGAGTCTTTGTTGGATACGATGCAGCAAGTGATATGTAAATTATCACAATGTTTCAGCAGCATGGGAATAAAGGTAGAATCTGTCCAAATTACTTCAGCTTCTAACAATTCATGTTTGAAATACAGACTAATTTGTCATCTGAAAATATCACCAAAAACTCTTTTGGAACCTGACAAAGAGCCTCTTCGGAAATTTATGCATGCTTACTGCATTGTAACAAAATAGTTTTTCCATGTTAAAAAATGCTTGGATTCAGGATGTGAGTATTGTATCAAGCATCCTATTAGGATGATTATGAAACAGTTATCATTTGTCTCTTTACCTTTGATGTCTGATGTTGACAAGTATGCAAACTTTGCTGACCTTTATGGAAAACTGCTTCACATGCTGCAGAAGTAGATAAAAAAGAAAGAAAGATGTGATTTAATCACATTGTGTGTACTCTAAAAGTAAACAATTCAAGAGCAAAACTTGGCTCTGGAAGTGGAGAAAAATATTCATCTGTATTCATGTGGTTCAGCAATATTTCCTCCTTATTTATGATACTTATCTAGCCGACCTACCGATCCAAGTTTTAGCCAACAAGAGCCCAAGAAACACAAAATTAAGTTGAAGTGGCCTTAACATCATTTTGGAAATAAAAGGGTGGAGGTTGGAAATTTTACCTTGTAGAAATATATATATATATATATATATAGGGCGGTTTATTTCTACTTCTAGGTTATGTCTGAGTATTAAAGCTAATTGCCTTCCCACAAATGGCTGCAGACTGGGAAAGGCAGTAGGAGTTGAGACGTTGTGGGTGTAAGTACTCAACTCCTCACCCTTAACTGATTTTCAGAAGCTTCTGGCAAGTTTAAGATCAGCGTCTGTATATTGTATGATAGATGGACTATCCCCAACATATTAGGGTGCTATGACCACAGAAATTATCCGTTGTGAATTCATTTTGACAACTAGGATTGATGATGGAAAATAATTGTTTAATTTAGTTCCATTATAATGTTTGTTATATATATAAATATATATATATATAATAAGAAAAAGCTGATTTTCACAGACAAAAATTATTAGTTAAAGAAATAAATAAAATTGACTACAAGTAAGAAAAAGAAATAAAATAAAGGTAAATACAGAGATACATGTATTTACAACACAAACCCTTTAGCAGTGAATTACCGTGTACAAGTCATTAACCCTTTAATTCTAGGTGGATGACATCGTGCATTTAGCAGCTAACGTAAAAGGAATTTAACGATATTTTTGACCAGTGTGGAGTAAAAACAGCAGAAAATAACAATTTTTCCAATGTTTATATTAATAAAAGGAGTTCAAAACACATAGCATGTTCATATACGACATTGCTGAACACAAAACTGCACAAGGGGCTATCTGTGCTGTGTCTACTACAGGGATTCTACTTCAGATTGTAAAGTTATAAGCCCTCAAGTTTACTTCTGAACGACCGGGAGCCTGTATTTCTCTACGATTAAATGTGTTGTTAGGTGAAACCTTTTTTACATATCTTAATGTAACCACTGATGTGATTTATTAAAAATAAATCATTGTTAATTCATCTGTACATAATTAAGGAAATAAAACATTTTTTTATAAATACAGTTTCATATATTTTCAAGGACATTTAAATCAATTACGTCCATAAATAAAGTTTAGATTAGAATATGAATAAAAAAATCGTGCCTCATTTAGACCATCAAATACATAACATTGGATGCTTATTTTCTGTAAGCAAACAGTAATTTGTGACAGAAAGGAGACATGAAAACAAGCATAACCATCAAATGAAATTAACTCACTTAGTAGTATTCCTAGTTGATCGAAACCAGCTGTTGGGTTAAACCCAAAAACTAATTTGAAGAGTTTATTTTCCATTACCCACTGATTCGCAGTTACATACAATGAAATTGCCATTATACGTAATTGGAAAATAGCCCTTGACCAAGATTAATGTTCATGAAATTAAATCATCACAAATAAAATATTTAACCTTTCTATACATTACATTAAAACTTAAGCAAACTTTATGTTTAGTTATGGTAAGCGCTATAGAATTCTAAAACTAGTGCACTTTGTTTCCTCTGTAAACATTCGGGTTATAACTTGAGCTTGCTGTTGGTGTTTGCGATCTCCTTTATTCAACAGAAATAACCATAATAACTTAGCAATTGAAGAATATTTAACATTAATACAAGCAGACAGTTTTTATATATTATTTTTTCTTTAATGATTTTGTTTGTTTGTTTGAAGTTAAGTACAAAGCGACACAATGGGCTGTCTGAGCTCTGCCCACCACAGGTGTTGAAACCCGGTTTATAGCGTTGTAGGTCCGCAGACTCTTTAATCAACGTAACAATGTATTCTTAGATTTATCATACACTACTGAGTTAGCCCAGTTTTGAATAATTCGAATGGACCAATCTTTGCTTTTATTTTTTACCAAATATAAAAGTTAGGCGATAAGAAAATAAAATCAATTTATTCTGCCTTCGATTGTTTCTGGGTGCAAACTTCAGAGCAAGAAACATGACCTATTATGTTAACTACTTTGGCTGGATTGAAGCAAAGTACGAAACTGAAATAAAACTATATATCTTATTTCTTTGCAATACTCAAAATATGCTCACAAAATTAAATTCAAACACTATCTTCAAACATGGTCTTCATGTATCTTCAAACATCATAAATAAATTTTACTCTACGATCCCCCCCCTTTTTTTTGTGTGTGTGGTGGTGCCTTATCAAAATTTGATATTTGAATTTTTGGTTGTTTGTTTTTAAACCCCGCATTTTAGAGTTGTAAGCCCGTAAACTTACCGCTTTTCCACGGGGGGGGGGAGGGGAGGACTGGGGTTTGATTATTAGACTTTTTCAGATTTTGCAACTTATTACCCAGAGCTCTGATGCATAATAAACCTTATCATATGAAATTTTATTGAAAAAGAACTCGAAGTACTTAAGTAAAAAAAAAAAAAGAAGGAGAAATATCACAAGTGCGTATGTATGTTTCTATTTTGCGTCGGGTAACTTTAATTAAAGAAAATTCTAAACATAGTAGTGCATTATGTGAAAATATTATTTCATGATACGTAGAGTGGGCTCTGGAGGATCCTCTTCCATAAAGAAAAGTAACACGAAAATTCTTTCTTCATGACTTAACTATATTTGCATGTCACTAAATCAGTTGAACATAAATTTTCAAATTATCCCCTACCGTCGTCAGCACATGAATAACAAAAAAGTCCTTATAAAAAGTCATCTAAAATATAAGCACATTAGTATACTTAGCACCTTCACTGATGGGCAAGCAAAACATTTGTGGCTCGTGTAATTTCTAAGCTGTTGGTGCCGATAGTAGTAAACATGCATAATGAATGATACTTCATTTGGGATGGCTTCTCCAAGACTCTATCTACAGAAATTAGCGAGGTAGGTTTTAAAAGAAAGAAAAACAAGCCGCATTTAGTATAAAGGCTGAATTTCTCAAATGTCTGGAAATATACTTGTCCTTCTTGTAAACAAGGATGTAACGCAAATGGATCAGTATTCATCAAATTTAGACTAGTCAGACAATCAACAGAATATGATTACACTTCAACAATTTTTGATATTCTTTAAAGAACTGTCATTAAACAGTTGATAAATAAGACACTTTGGGGTTTATATTTAGGTATATGGTTCTTAACATGAGTTTTGCGTTAACTGTCTTAAAGAGCATAGCTTTTCAACACATTTTCAAATTCCTGCTAAACCAGATTTTAAGATCCCCTAGATAGAAAGAAAGCTGTTTCATTCTGGCTAACAAGTCTGATGCTTAATAATATAAAAGGTTCACCGGATTTGCTTTTGTTTTTTTTCTTACGACAAGTGTTTTATGACTTGAAAGGTGTTGTGAATGTTGAATTATGTGTAATTTCTTTGAAGGAGACATTCAATGCAAGTTTTTTTTTTACGTTTATTGAAACAATACAAGATTTCTATATCAATAACAACAATTGAAAAGTCACTCGGAACTCTCGCAAATATACATTTGGAATCAATATTTTGTTTTTTACTGAACTTGGTAAACTAATACAAAGTTTGGACTGACTTGTAAACTAACATCAAATACTGTACCCAGTGCTGTTGAACTTCAGAGATTTTGTGTCCGTAAAACTTCAGACACACATGACTGCTAATATACTTGTATTGTTCTTCCCAAACAAGTGTATTTTGGAAGCTCGTGGCAGCTCCCATAGCTGCATTGTTCCCCACACACCAAGTGTAGTTTAGAGGCATGTTGCAGCTACAGTAGCTGCATTGTTCTTCCCAAACAAATGTATTTTGGAAGCTCGTGGCAGCTCCCATAGCTGCATTGTTCTCCACACACCAAGTGTAGTTTAGAGGCATGTGGCAGCTCCCATAGCTGCATTGTTCTCCACACACCAAGTGTAGTTTAGAGGCATGTGGCAGCTCCCATAGCTGCATTGTTCTCCACACACCAAGTGTAGTTTAGAGGCATGTGGCAGCTACGGTAGCTGCATTGTTCTTCTTGATTTTACTAAATTTATTCGTTCGCTACTTATTTTTTAGGTTTCAACATTTACTTACTAACTCATTCTTCCTTTAACACCATTCATGTTGCTCAATGGAGTGCATTTATATTTATTAATTACGTAGTTCTTTTTATAGTTGATATTCTAAACTAGTCTTTATATTCAAAACCTGATATAAACGGTAAATTAGAATCTTTAGATTACGAACTAAAGAAAATCAAAACGAATTTCTGGAATTAAACAGATTACAACTTATTATTGTAGTTGATTAAGATTAATAAAAACGCTGCTCTTATTATATGTATTTTGATAGTGGAAACTTGATGATTTTACTATTTTATTATTATTTCTCGTATTTCTACCAAATGCAACGTATTTTCTTGAAATTTATGACACATTTACAAATAATGGTGAAAATAATAATGATAGGAACATTGGTTCATTTACGAACTTAAATCGGTGTCTCTGCATTTTTTTCTTCAACATTACTGCTGTCACTAGCCAGTACTCATTGTATTAATGGCATTCAAATTCATTGATATTTGATTAGATAATACTTGCACTTTCTACAAGATGATAAAAAAAACCTATAAGCTAGTTTGCCCCTGAAGAAGAAAGCTTCACCTTTCGAAAGCGCTCGGGTTATAGGATTTTTATCATCTTGTATCAAGATTTCTTGAACCTACGTGTTTTTCTGACATCATGAATACATTTTCTACAGTCATTATGAAAGGTTATTTCAAGTTGCTGGTTGTAACTTCACCAGCAAAGCACAACTGTTTTAACTCATAATTAATTGGTCACCAAAACACAACTGTAAATTAATTTATTTCCCAATATTATTTAAGGGTTAAGAATTCAATCTAGAATGTAAAATTTTCTACATTACTTCAAGCATTCACAACCTGAATCAGGGGTATAGGAGACAAGTTAAAAGTAGGGAGGGTTCAAGGCTTACATTAGAGCCCTGGAAGATCTTGGGTTGTGGATTAAATTTTATGCTTTCCGCTGTTTGTTCTGAGAATAATTTTCCTAACTTTGATGCATTTTTACTGGGACAGGCTGAAAAGTGTGTGTGTGTGTGTGTGGGAGGAGCCACCGTTTTCTACGTCACCATTAATAAAAACTACTGTTTTAAACCTCTATAAAAATCAACAGGTATGAAAAAAAGTACAAAACCTAAAATAAAAATAGTAGTTTTACATGTATTAAAATAGTGTCAGTGTAATGCTGAATTTTAGTTCAATTATTACTTCTAACGTTACAAAAGGCATTTGTTAATGAAATTCATAATTACTATACCTTTTGCATTTCAAGAACGTCCAGTAACTTCTAACTCAGAACTTTACTGGAAATATTTTAAGCAGAAACTGTTAATATTTTTATTATCTGATATAGATTAAGGGTTGAAGAAACCAAATTAGCTATATATCGAATTAGTAAAAATATTAGTAAAAATATCCAAAAACATCTCTAAAATTAAGAAACAACAAATATAGTACTTGTAAAACTTGTAACCCAGGACACTAGTTTTTGTTTCAAACCAAAATCTAAGTTATAACACTTTTTCAAACAGCCTAACAAACTTTAGTTAATTAATTTTTCACCCATGACTCTTGGCTCAAAAAAATATTTCCAACCACTGTTTATTTGCGAGGCATCAGATGTATTTATAATAAACTTGTTTAGATTTCGCAGATCGCAGATCTCAAGTAATAGTCCTGTGATAAGTGAGTAATCCTTATTCGGAGCTAGAGCGTGCAAAAGCTAGACCAGGGTGACCTTAGTTCAGTGGTGATTTGAAAGTAAAGCTTTAGTAATATCTTGCCTGATGAAGTTAGCAGCGATATATCCCCTGAGACCCCACATTCGTGTTTTGTACAGTGATATAGAAGAAGAACCCTCCTCCCAACCCTTAGTGTGCTGTCCTCACAGCGACTGCTGCTACAAGTGCCGCTCCTCTACCACTTCCATCTTCAGATAACATTAGATCAAACTGAAACAAAAGAAAAGTATTTTTGTTTAAATTAATTTCACTACACAGCTCTTTCATATTTAGTGCTCATTTTAATATAAAATACTTTTTATGACTTCCAGTTCTTAGCAAAATAAATAAAACATTAATTTTTTTAAATTAAGAATTTTATAATCTTGACACTTTCATATTAATAACCTTTTCGGTGAGACACAAAAAATTAACGATTGGTGATATCTGTAGAACTGTTCCCTAACACTAACCTTGTGGTCTGGGGCAGTAAGTTCAGAGATCTTCTTCTCCATCAGATCATGAAAATGTGGGTGGTATCTGTAGACTGAACCATCAACTCCTACTGTAGTGTGAGGTCTCTTGAGGCGATTTAGAATGCAAGCTACAGCTGAATCAGAAAAAAACAATATTTGAAATAACATTTACAGTTCTAAATCAGTTAAACAGGTTGTTTAGTAAGAGACTATCGTAATATTACAGTATACTAAAAGACAAGAACTATAACGATATGGTTTGGAGCTTTCTAGAATATTGTTTGAAACATACTTACCAGCAGATACCAAGAAAGCAGCACGTGTAGAAAATCGAGCACATACTAATTTCAGGTTCTCACAATCTTCCGGTGTAGCATGTTCCAGACCCATTTCACTTAACACCTTGCGAGTCTCGTCAAACACGTGTTTACGATCACTGCAACGTTAAAGATACAGAAAAAAAATCGTATAAAAAAACAGGAATAGAAACATAGCAGTGGCGAAGATACGTTTAAATCTGGGTTACGCGCAAGGAGAGAAAGGGGCTCTGGTGGGGTCCGGGGGTCTCGCCCAGGAAAGTTTTGAAATTTAAGCCTGAAATTGTGTATTTTGGTAACCTTTCTTGCGTATATAATCTATAACAAATTAACAATAAAACCTATATAAAGTATTGCATAGGTATCGCTTAGAATCTTTTAACTAATCGAAATTAGGTTACCCGTTTTTCATTACTGAATTAACACTGCCATCGTCTCCTAAAATGAGAATCAATATTGTCTTAAAGGAAGCTACACACTTTTAAAACGCTGACAACCATGCAGTTAGAAAACTCTAGACCGAAGTGTTATATTGTAAAATAAATTGTTCTTGAAATATTCTACTGACAGTTGAGTTAAATAAACAAAAGTTGCAGCGTGCTAGCATCAATCTGCAAATATGCTTCAAAGTTAACAAATAAATTAATTATTTTATATAAACATGATATGTATATCTCGTTAGATTAGTATTGTCATGCGCAGTTATAAAACCAACTCGTGACCAGGCAGGAGGTAGCACTGCCTATGTAGGGATGGCTCAGATTGCTCATCAAAATTGTATTTTAAATATCTCCTCAATAGGTCATCAGAACTTTACAATACTATACAGTTTTATAACAATATATATGTAATAACTGAGTGACAAGTTCTGGTAATGTTTGTAAATATCATAGCAAAAAGTTTGAATTTCTTGTTCTTCTTTCTGCTTCTTCTTTATTACGTGATAGTTCAAAACCAACACAATGGTGTTAACCATTTTCACAGAGGTGACTAGTTTCAAACGGAGTATCCGCTTTATAAGTATTATTAATAACTAATAGTAATTA